CCAGCCCCACAAAATGGAGATGAGTTTAAGGACCATAAAAGTGATAACAGTTTTACCAATTAGTCTCATTGCATACATAGGCAATATTTACTTGGTTAATGTTCTTAAATAAGAATATAGAAAGGTGTATATCATTTAAAATCTCAGCATAAAAGAATTCCTGATATCAAGTCATGAAATAATTTTGTTTGATATGGTAAAATATAGTTAAACGTATATTTTAAAATCCACTTAGTCATTTAATCTAACATTAAGTGCTATATCACTCTGATATATTACATTTTAGATAGTAGATTCTTCCAAATATTTTTCCCTTTTACTTCTTTCAGTGCTGAACTACAGAAAGGCTTTCTCTTAAGATACTGAAGCTGTAATGTGCACCCTTTTCATGTAATACTTTTTACTTTAGTAAATTTGTTTTGAAGATTCCTTTTACTTAAGGTTGTGTGGTGATCATTTTTTCATATTCTTCATTATTCTTTTGGAGTAGGAATTTGAATAGTTTTGTAAAGTGCCAAAAATGATTTAACAATTTAAATATTTATTATTGCTAAATAGGTTTTTACATTTTCCATGTTTTTAATAATTTACAAGAATTATACTTTTAAAATAAATAATCTACTAGTGAAAAATTACTTTGGAAAATGAAAATGCAAGGATTGAAGAGAGAGAGGTAGAGGAGAATTAGCAGAGTACTGGTCACAGGAACACCTGGCCTTATGACCTGTCATTCTCTTTGTTTATCTAATAGATGAGAATTTTGTGACATAATGGTTTTTGTTTCCTGTATAGGCCTTCCTTAGAAAACAGACTTGTAAAAATAATTACTGGATTGGATTATCATATGATGAATGTGAAGGGAAATGGAAATGGGTTGACAATGACACATCTTCTGGAATGTGAGTTTCTGGAATACATTTAAACTCTACCATTAGTGTGCGAGTTGGAAGGATTATGTCTGGAATGAATATTCTTTCATTTCACACAATTTAACACATTTTCAAATGGAAGTCACTGGTGAAAATAAGAAGAATAGGTTATAAAGTGTTTTAGAAAGTATAGTTAAAAAAGGAAGAGAGGTGTCATACAGAGTTATTAATAATAATAGTAGTATGATCTCAGAAGTATGTGTTATGAGATGCAGAAAATGAAACAATCATAACTTTTTTGATGGCGGCACTCTACCACAGAATTCCATCCCTACCCCCTGACCTCCAAAATTTATTTTGAGACAGGGTCTTACTAAGTTGCCCAGGTTTGCCTTGAACTTGTGATCCTCTTCTCAGAAGCTAGGATTACAATGTGCTTGAGAGATTATAGGTGTGCACCACTACACCTGGCTCAAAATCATGAATCATGAATCATAAATTTTAAGGTGACGTGATTGGACCATCTGACTTAGTTATAATGAGTATTCTGAATATCCCAAACATTCATTTGAAACTTCTTCATATAATTAGTTTATACTATGTTTGTTTATGTTATTTATTGACGTGAATATAAGAATTTGCATATATATACAATCATTCATATGCATATACATGCCTTCCATTTTGAATTGCAGCAGTATGTAAACAATTAGGTTTACATTTAGTTCTAATCTGCCATAAAATTGTTCATTATTTAGAAATATTAAGTATTGTATTTTTATTTCTAGGAATTCTCTTTTGTGTTTTCAAATAATCTTGCTAGACACTCATATTTTCAAGCTGCCTTTTATTTCTTAAAACAGAGTGAAACATATTTCACATTTGATATCTGATAATTCTAGTATTTTTCTGTTATTTCTGCTGGCTTTTTTCATGAAAAAATTTTCTTTCCTTATCTATTTCTTCTTCTTTTTTTTGGTGGGGGGGTACTGAGGATTGAACTCAGAGGCACTTTACCATTGAGCCATATCCCCAACCCTTTATATTTTTTATTTTGAGACAAGGAAGTTGCTTAGGGCCTCACTAAGTTGCTAAAGTTGGCCTTGAGCTTTTGATCCTCCTGCCTCAGCTTTCTGAGTCACTGGGATTATAGGCATTCACCACCATGTCTTGCCATGATACAGTTTTCTTTGTGGTGTTTAGGAATTTTTTTTCCCTCTTTAAGCTGCAGTGGAAACTATTTGAGGTCTGAGATGAAGATGGTGGCTTCCTCAAGAAAAAAATTGCTTTAGTTGGATGTTTGGCAGCACTGAATCTGGTCCACTTTTCACTTGGGATGGGCAAGTATTGGAGCTCTGAGTTGTAAACCTGCAAAAAATGACCTCTAATCACCTTGACATACTTGTATTTTCCAAGGACACTGTTAGATAAATTACTCTGGAGGTCATAAAACAGAAAGACTCACTGGCCAAATTAAGATGCTCAGATCAGATGGTAAATCAAATCCACCTAGAACCCATAGCACAATGCAAAGGGAAAGATATAGGTAGGCTGTCATAGATACAGTAAGGTACAAGATGGGGAGAGGGCCATCTGAAACCTGGGTCAAGCAATCTTTTTATGCCCTGATGCTCTCTGCAGCAGAATCCTTCCCTGATGATAGTGTGGGTTATAGGGCCAGATTTGAGGTTTGAGTTATGAGGGCTGAAAAGAGAAAAACTATTGTGGTCAGCACACATATTTTCTTTACTGGGGAGTCACAGTAGCATATAAGCCTGGCTACAACTTCACCTCTCCAATTAACCTTATGAGCAGTTTTATGAGTTTAATTTGTGTTAATTGGGCAGGGGCTAGAATGCATGTCACCAATGGGAGATGGAATGACCTTGTGAATGTTGAGGATATGCTTTATGTATATATTTTGTACATAGTTAGTGTCTGCTTAGTCTTCTTTTTTGTTTATGTTTATCACACATGATTTACTTACTGTATCTATACCTAACATTTCTCATAGGTTACTAATTTACCTATCTCTTCAAAACATCTTATGTGTTCTACCTATGCCTCACAAGTTACTTGGTTTCGTTTATCTTTCTTATTTGTTTCTTATCCAATAGCAGATTTGAATATTTTAAATAATGTATCAAATATGTATTACATGAGGGATGCTTTGTTATTTTGAATTCTTAGGTGAGGTTATTCTTTTTTTTTTCCTTCTGCTTAGGGACTTTTACTGAAGATATATCCCTTTGAGTTCTCAGCACTTGGTAGGTTGTGTGGCATTCATTATTTAGAATACCCATGATGTAGAATTTATAATTCAGCCTATTATATCTATTAAGGGACAATCTTTCCTCAGTGCTTCACTTATCCTTTTCAGTTCCACCTTTACATAAGCCTTAGCCTCTATAGAAATTTGCTTCTTACCAGTGCATGAATTTATGCAAAAAGTTTTCATTTTTTTTATTCAACATTTAGAATTATTTTCCACTGGAAGGTAGTTCTGGTACTTAGTACACCATTTTGCTGAAACTGATGTCCTGCTATAGACAGGACAGTTAATGAATTATCATGTTTTAGCAATAACTGCTAGATATGGGGTGGAGGAGGAAAAGAAACAAAACAAACAAAAACTTCAATCAAGAAATCTTATCTCTAACTATATTCTAATTTTCCTTTAAAATATAGACATATGAGACCTGGTTTTGTGTTACAGAAATTCTTTTTAGTCTTTCACTTTATTGAAAAGATTGACATAAGAAAGCATGTTTGGGCCGAGGTGGTGGCTCAGTGGTAGAGCGCTTGCCTAGCATGTGTGAGGCACTGGGTTCAATCCCCAGAACCACATAAAAAAATAATAAACAAATGAAATAAAGATATTATGTCCATCTACAAATAAAAAAAATTTTTAAAAAAGAAACCATGCTTGGTATATTGTAATCCCATGGTAATATTGTAAATTAAATGTTGTCTAATGATCCAAAAATTGCCAGTGTAAAAAAACATGGGGGATTATGAGTGTGATAAAGAGACATGATTCTATTTAATGGGCCTACAGCAAAAGAAAATATTATAATGAAGTTATGATTAATATTTCTATATTCTGAATATTTAAGCAATAGAATTTTATATCATGATTTATATTATTATAAACTTCAGAATTAAAGAGTTGCCCCCCGCTATTTTCTCTTCTGTAGTGATCTTCAAGTAATGACGTCTCCTGCAATAGGACATTGTGTCTTTTTATCTGCAACAAGAGAAGACGCTATTGAATGCAATAATAGCTACAATTGTATTTGTGAAAAAAGACTGTAAAGTATTTCATCTGCTTTAATGTGTGATGAGAATAAAAGGTAAACATGGAATATTGTAGTTTTTGTTTGTTTACAGTCATAATTTGTGATTACTTACAAATAAACATTTTTGACTTCTGCTATGGGAGCAGAGAGAGATGAGCTGCAAGAGGAAGAAAATGTTTTTTTCATTACATGACTAGGAAATCAGATGCCATGTTTTTTTGTAGAAGAGAGGAAGAAGAGCCTGTCTGTGGAGAGCAGTTTCCCTTTTCTGTAATGGCACTGAGGATTTATTCTTCCTTTCTTTTTCCTGAGACATCCTTAGAACCAATTAAAGAACCCTGATAAATAGGATCAATCATTTCAATGTCTTCTGGCTTTTATAATACATTTAAGAACTAGAATATAGTTGTATTTTGTTCACATCTAAAGCTTACCTCATCTTTAAAATATTTTTTATTTTGTTATAAAATATATTTTTTAACATACTGAATAATTGCAAGGATAGTTCAAGGAATTTTCCCATATAACATTCACCCAAATTATCAGTTGCAGTTGTTTATATTTTGCTATATGGTTTATATTCTACCCCCACCCACCTTTCTGTCTCTCTCTCTCCTTGCTGATCCATTTGATAATAAATGCCATATTCTTCTTTTGTTTAAATATTTTTTAAGCACAAAAAATTGTCTTATATAGTAATACTACAATGATCAAAATCAGGAGATTTAGTATTGATACAATACTATGATCTAATCTATAATCCATGATCATATTTTATCAGTTGTCCCAGTAATGTCATTTATAAATTTTTTCCTCCATGTTCAGGATCATGCAGTATATTTAATTGTGCTGTCATTTAGTGTACTAAGTCTAGAACTGTTCTTTAGTCTTTTTTTTTCTTGACTTTGACATTTTAAAAATCAACTTTTTAAATTTGTACTGTACATATCATAAAATGCACCCACTGTAAGTTAAGAAGAATATGGGTTTTAACAAATGTGCACCTCTAATACACTATCCAGCCAAGATGTAGGACATATCCATCACCTATAAAAAGTTTCTGGCCCCATGCAAGTGGTGATATGCTTTCTTCCACTGTACATTAATTTTGCCATTCTAGCATTTTATGACTCATGCACTCTTTGTAATTGACTTTTTGCTCAATATGTTTTTGAAACAATCTATACTTTTTCATGTATTAGTAGTTCATTCTTTTTGTTTGTCTATTGTACTGATAAACCACATTTTTAATTCATTCATTGATAAACATTTGATGTATTTCCACTTTTTGGCTTCTATGAATAAAGTTGCTATGCTATGTACATTTGTGTGCAAATCTCTGTGTGGACGTGTTTTTTTTTTTTTTGATCATTTCTAATTTTTTTTTTTTTGGTTGTTCAAAACATTACAAAGCTCTTGACATATCATATTTCATACATTTGATTCAAGTGGATTATGAACTCCCATTTTTACCCCGTATACAGTTTGCAGAATCACATCGGTTACACATCCACATTTTTACATACTGCCATACTAGTGTATGTTGTATTCTGCTGCCCTTTCTATCCTCTATTATCCACCCTCTCCTCCCCTCCCCTCCCATCTTCTCTCTCTACCCCATCTACTGTAATTCATTTCTCTCGTTTTTTTTTTCCCTTTCCCCTCACTTCCTCTTATATGTAATTTTGTATAACAATGAGGGTCTCCTTCCATTGGACATGTGTTTTTATTTTGTTTCTAGAAATATCTGGGGGGGGGTCTGATTATTGAGCATGTTTAATTTTATAAGGAACTTCTAGGTTATTTTCTGTGGTTATATGATTTTATTTTCCCAGGAGCAACAAATGAGTGTTCCTGTTGCTCTTCATCATTGATGATACAATATTGTTAGTCTTCTTAATTTTAGCTATTATGGGGAGTGTGTAATGATGTTTCACTGTAATGTTTTAATTTGTATTTCTCAAATGACAGATGATATTGAGTGTGGTGAGCCGTTCCTGCGGACTGTGGTCGCCATTACATGATGGCGCTGGCTCCGCTGTGGTCTGTGAAGGACAACTCCATATCAGAGAGAGTTGGCGTGTTGTCAACTCCTTATCAGAGAGAGTTGGCGTGTTGTTTTCTAACACCCTGTGAGAAGGGTCCACGTGGCAGCTTCGCATTGGGGTTCGCGGTGCTTTATTAAGGCTGGGAGGGGCATCCGAGAATTAGTAGAAGAATTATTAGAAGAATATCAAGGGCCTGAATAAACTGCTGAAAGAAGATTCCTGAGTCGCGTCTTCCTTGCGGGCAAGGGGGTCGTGACAATTGAGCATCTTTTTTGTTTGTTAAAAATGTGTATTTTCTTGTGTAAAGTATCTTTTTGTGTTTTGTTTACTTTTTAAAAATTGGGTTTGCCTCTGTGAATTATGGAGTTTTAAAGTTCTTTATATAAATATTCAGATTATCCAAATAAGTCTTTTCTTAGATGTATGTTGTTATGATTTGGATATGAGGTGTCTCCCAAAAGCTCATGTGTTAGACAATGCAAGAAAGTTTAGAGGAGAGATGATTAGGTTGTGAGAGTCTTAACCCAATCAATGAATTAATTCCATGATAAGGATTAAATGAGTGGTAACTGAAGGCTGGTAGGGTGTGGCTGGAGAGGTGGGAATTGGGGGCATGGCTTTGGGTGTATATATTTGTCTCTGGCAAGTGAAGATCTCTCTCTCTGCTTTCTGATCATCATGTGAGCTGCTTCTCTCCATCACACTCTTCCTGATGATGTTCAGCCTCACCTGCACCCCTGAATGGTGCTGGACTTCTATGGACTGAGACCTCTAAAATTGTGAGCCCTCAAATAAACTTTTCCTCCTCTACAGTTGTGCTGGTTGGGTCTTTCAGTTGCAGCAGTAAAAAAGCCGACTAAAACATGTAATATGAATATTTTCTGTACCTTACTTCTTCATTTTCCTAAGGGTATCTTTCAAGAAAGAGAAGTTTAAAATTTTTAATGCAGCCTAATTTATCATTTTTCATGCTTTTTTATATTTGAAAATCTTTCTACGTAAAAATCACAGAAATTTTGTCCTATAATTGTTTCCAGAAGTTGTATAGGTTTAAAATATTCTTTTAGAATATTAACTTATATTCTTAACCTATCTAGACTGAGGCAAAAGTGTATCACCTATTTCAGGTTTTTTTGGATTTTCTCAAAAAGGATAGGATTTTGATTGTGATTGCATTGAATATAGATTTATTAGATAGATCTGATATCTTAACAATATTAAATGTTAAAATTCATGAACATGATTTTTTTAAAGAAAAGCAGCTTTATTAGGAAAATGAAAATGATTATATGCTAAGTTGAATAGCTAAGTTGTACAAGGAAGGAACTGAAAATTCCTTTACTGATGTTCTCCAAGACTTGTATTCCATTAATATGCACCTTGGTCTTTACTCAGACCTGGAAAAAAAATAAACCCGAGTTTCAAACAGTGGTGATTCTTCCCTTTACCATGCACAGAGATTCCTATGATTCCCTTGAAAGGGTAAAGTTTCTAAGCTGGAAAGCTTGAATTAAAATGTAAAAGATTAGGTATTATTAAGTTC